CGAAGGTTGAAGCAACCGGTGTTTGGGTTCGGTTTTGGAGTTTGGATTTTAATGTGGTGTTGATTTTGGTTTATCTGAGCTTGTTATTGGTGGAATCAAAGGTCCAAATCTCAACAATTCGCAATAAAATGTATAAATATGAGTGAAAATGTTAAAATATACAACTTTAAGACGATTGGCACAGTTAACGCCCTTTTGTGCTAATAACCCCTAATTTTAACATTTTCCTAATTGTGCATTGAAGATAAAATATCATTTTTAATAGTATACATATCTACAATATATTAAATATCGCATCAAGTAAGAATGATTTTTTGGACAATTTTAACCCTACTACAATTCAATTATTTCAATAATATCTTACTTTTCACTTTTCAATATGCAATAAATACTGCAAAATCACCGTCATGTATAAATTTCGTATTATTAATTAATTAATATTTACATGAATGTTGATTTGATAAATCTTGATTTACAAGAATCTTGAGTTATTATAGATGAATTTATTTCTCTTCATGTATCTAGGAATTTTAATGTGTGTTTAAATTCATGTATTAACAATTAATTTTTATGTACCAAATGTAGTATAAAAATATTGTTCATTTGTAGTATTTAATCATCACAAAAAAATTAAATCATAAAAGTTGAGTTTTGAGAGTGCAATTTTCTTCTCTTAAATTTATATCCTAAATTTTATTTTTTTTAATTCGTTTGAGACTCATCAAATCCTCTCAACAAATTGATATTAAATATTACTTTTACAGCACTTATAAAGTATTTCAGAGTAACGTGCAATGCACGTTCAACTTTGAATAGTATAGACCAAAAGTTGTAAAATATCTTAAGGCTAGACAAACTCCCTAACCATATTGAATCGGTTCGGGTCGCACGTTCAACTTTGACTAGTATAGACCAAAAGTTGTAAAATATCTTAGGGTTAGACAAAACTCTCGAACCGAATTGAATCGTTCAACTTTGACTAGTATAGACCAAAAGTTGTAAAATATCTTAAGGCTAGACAAACTCCCTAACCATATCAAATCGGTTCGGGTCACACGTTCAACTTTGACTAGTATAGACCAAAAGTTGTAAAATATCTTAGGGCTAGACAAAACTATCGAACCGAATTGGATCGAATCGGACCCGAACCGAACTGAACCGAACCCACCAGTTCTTCTTAAGTTAAATACCCGAACGGGTATCTGAATCGAAAATCGACGAGTTTGGTTCGATTTTCGGTTCTAGACCAAGAACCGAAGAACCGAATCTCCATTTTTTTT